TTGTTTTATATTAGAAGTATACAGAAGAGGAGAAGTTTTATAGGCATCGTAGAGAAGTACGGAGGGTCTCATTTTTAGGGAATTCAATTCTCCATACAAACTGGAATGCACCGAAAATTTTCAATTCGTTTTTTTATAAAACGTCAGTCAAAAACTCGGGAATCAATGATTCATTAAAAGGAGACTCTTTAAAACTCACTGACAAACACTGTTTCTTCCATGAAAATTACATGAACTTGTTCATCTTTTGAGGCGTTTTTCGAAACACTGGTTGATGTTGAGAATATTTGCACTTTTCATTTTGAAATTCCATTAGCCATTGGCAATAATAAACACTAAATTCAAAAGCTATGAATTGACAGTAGCATAAGAATTTTTTTATAATACAGACCATAAAATTCTGTGTCGAAAAGTATATGTTTCAACTGTTTCCAGTAAAATCGCTTGGACGGAAAATGCAAAATACTATAAATGTCTTTAAACTATGACCACCAGTTTATATTTGCTATAACAACTATCAGTTTTATTTTTATCAAAATAACAATAATCATCATTGTTAACATATCTATTAGCAAATCGCTATCAACTTTTTCTTCATTAGAGAGTATTTACATTTTCAAGTGAACGTGCAAACATCGTTTCTACGCAGCGGACTATTATATGGATCATAGATTCTTTATCGTTATTCAATATACATTGTTCTTCCTGCTATCCGGTAATGATTGCAAAGATAATGACAATACTTTCTTCAAAATCAATCATTCATATAAATTAACTTATATTCGAGACGCACAAGTAAGAATGTTGTCTTGAAGCATAAACAAACTTCACTGTTTTTTTCTTCCTTAGTATTCTCACAAACTACAGAGGTTCAATAAATCATCGAGAACTAGACAGAATTTATGGGAATTGAAGCGTACTACCAGAGATGTAGGGAACTCCTAGGGATTAGAGTGAATCAGTAGAAATTTTCTCAAGATCTTCTGTAGATCCAGCTTCAGAATAAAATCACACATACAGTATGATATCTGGTGAGGGTAGCACAAAAGAATGTAGAGTTCCGAAGATATGCGATTCATGAAAAGAGTTTGTGAAAATTGCCAGTAATATTTTGTGAACTATAATTAGCCTACAAATCTGTATTACTTTCAGGTACTCCAGAAATCACTACTAATTGACTCAAGTGCTAGGTACTTGATTTCAAGTCTCCGATTATCATCCAAATCCTTGATACTCTACTAAATCGCTGATCGCTGACAATCTTAATTTCGAAATATATATGATAATTGATGTTTTTTGAGTAATCTGATAACTCATTTTCGCTGTGGACTCACTTGAAACGAAAAGATGAAGTAGAAACACGGCTAACTCTAGCGACTTGAATACGCTACTTGATTTGAAAATATTTTGAACATTCGAGGAAAGGAACGTTTATAGATATTCATCTTGTCTAAGGCTTAATGTGAAATATTTCACTTTTCAATGTCATTGTACCAGAAACTGTGTTATAAACATTTATTTACCAAAAGTAGTTGATAATATAATATTATTTCTCGTGGAACTCACATATATGTTCGAAGAAAATAGTGATCATAAGTATTGAGTTACAGATACTCAACAAATAAATCATATAGAAACTAAAGATTTTTCGAAGTTATTTTTGCATTATTGTCAATATAAAATGACTTCGACACGTATCACTTTATAAAATATATTTAGGTAATTTATCCTTCTCTTGTCGATGTCAATTCGTATGCGCTCGCAACTGTTCCACTTGATACTATCTATATTGCTAATAGTTCTCTGCCGAACGCTGTGAGTAACATACAAACAACAATATTGCGCCAGGAAAAAATGAATAATTTATTTTTACAAGGGCCTAGGAGCTTTTGCTGCTCGTTCTATCGCACGTCTGAGTTATTTTGGTCCTTACGGTGGTTTTAAACACAACAATTACATCATTGCAAATGCAAATGGCTATGCTTGGACAGTAAGAATCGAAGTAGTTTGATACCCCATCTTTCATGTTTGCATAGATTGACGATAAGTTGCACAGCATGATGTATTGTATCGATGCATCTGAGCCCAACAACTCTAATTGGCTTCGATTTATTAATTGTCCAAACACTTTAAGTCAACGAAATCTTGTTCCACTCGAGTGTAAGATGGAGTCCGTACAGAGTTTTCGATGAAACGATTTATATAATGTTGTTTGTATAGATTATGGTAATATCTTCTACCTAGCTATTCGAGATATCGATGCCAGAGAGGAACTTCTAGTCTACTATGGAGATAGTTACGCCAGAAAGCTTGGTATTGATACGACGCAGTTCGATTAAGTTCTATTAAAGACTTTGTCACATTCGAACAACATCATAAAGAACTTATACTTACAAGAACAAGAAAGACTAGAATTCTGAACTAAGGTTTTGCTTGAAAAATAAAAGTGTTATTTTCTAAGAGTGGGTGGGAGTGTGGGAGTATGAGTGTGTGAAGCAAAGAACAATACCCATGCGCAAAACGAAGAACATTCATACTCACATCCACGCCTACAATCATGCCCGTAGACGATAGGCTTTTGGTAAACTCGATCGTTACAGTTGAATCTCATTGACTCAATCTTGAACAAGAAAGAGTGTGAACTGATACACTCCAAATCATATTAAAGACTCTTGTTAGCTTTGGCTGTAATTCATGAAAAAACAGGCTTCTGCCATCGCATTTGAAATATACTCTTTTTAAAAAATCAAGTGTGGGTGTGGGTATGGAAGTCGGTGTGGCTTATTTATCCAAGAGGACAACATTCGCTACTAAACCCATACCAACACCCACATCCACAGCTCGTGAACTTATAAAATTATTAGAAAAAGTATCAAAATTTCAAGAACAATGGCAACAATCATCTATTTTAAAACAAATTATTATAAGATATTATCGTTTTATGCAATTAAAAGCATCCCATCCAATAAATCTTCTATTAGTTCCTACATTAGATATTGAAATAGTTTGGCAAACTCATTTACTTCGACCTGAAATTTATCAAGCTGATTGTATTCGTTTATTTCGTTGAATTATTGATCATAAATTGTTAGCTAATGATATTGAAGACTTTTTGAAAGAACAAGCATTTCAAGATACTTGTCAATTCTATGAACAAAGATTCGGTGAACAATAATCATCCATTAATGATATAAGTCAAATTTCATCAAATGTTTCTCATTATATTTTCGATCCTTATGGTGATGACTTAACGAATTCTTCTTATTGGGATAAAACAAATTTCGAATTTTCATTGGAACTATCCAAAGATTATGAAAATCCTTTTTCATTTACAGAAAGTGATATCAGTTTTGATATGAAGTGGCTTGATATGTGTAAAAAAAATTCATGGCAAATGCGTTACAAAAAACTCCTATCGAATTTTATTATCGAATGCAATCGACAGATATCAATCTTAGAAAATGAGCAATGAAACGATTAAAAAAGTCTTATGAAAAGTTTTTATACATGGCAGCTAAATATCCACTCAAAGATAGAAATGGTTTTGTACCTCCAACATATGCGGTAAAATACTTCTCTTAACAAATGAAAAAAGGTTCATTACTTTGATATGCAAGAACCATTGAATTATGCGGCTGATTGTATTCGTCTTGTTGGCTATGTTATTTTTCATGATCCATGGCCAATAATTGATGATAATAATATGAAAAAATCATGTAATAAAACGGATGAAATTTGGAAGCGAGAATTTGATAGTGATATAACGACAGATCATCTTTACAATACAATTGAAGAGGCAGCTGATTGGTACGATGAGTAAACACATCGAAAGACATCTACATAATCAAGAATAAATTTCTATTTTATATAAACTCTTCATGACATTTTTTAATACGATAAAAATTTTTTTTTCAACGACTTTCATATTATTTCTATCGTTTATCAAATGCTATTATTAAAAATACAAGAGCATATTTAGTATATAATTCAATGAATGTGCAAGAGACGTTCTAGTTGGGTGCGGGGTGTGGGTGTGGCTATGGACAATGTAAATTCACATCTACCTACCCACCCATACCCTAACGAGGATACAAATGAAAGTTTTGCATATGAGCAGCATTTTCGTTCAAGCTCTGCAAAACCAAATGAAAACAATGCAGCTCTTTACAATACCTTTGTTACATTTTGATTTTCGGCATACAGCTTTTTTGCTAACATTATCTGCAAAATCTCGCTAGAGAAACCTATTACAACAACATATTCAATACTATAATGAATCTTATCAAAATTAATTGTAAACGTTGAATTTTGCTCGAAACCAAGGTAACAACATTTGCACTATCTGTATAATAATTGAATCTTATATAACTGAAATCGTGATTAACATGATATGCTTTCCAACGATCATCTTTTTGGATTCTTGATTTCCATTCTATTCTTGAATATTAAGAGAAAATATAAAAACAATAAGAATAATACATAGTATTGATTCACGAAATTCATCTTCAAGAAAATCTGATCTGTGTGAGTGTGAGTAGTTAGAGCATAGTCACATCCATTCACGCCTAGTGTATTTTGCAAAACTCAATTCAGTTAACTTCTGTTAATTGAGGAGATCATTAAATTATTGGTAAAGAAGTATTATTCTTTAAAAATACACAAAAATTAGCTTTTGAATATTCCTCATCATGGTTTGTTTTTCTCGTTTTTTTTTTTGTTGAAGCTTCATTTCAACAAAAAAAAATCATGAACGTCAAAGGAAATGCTAAAACAATGAAAACAAATGAGCAGATGTTAGAGGAAGTCAAGCTAGAAAATCATGTACGAAATGTACATATGTGTTCATGGTGAACATAAAGCTTCCTATTCATTTCCTTGTGTATAAATAGCTTTTATGTTCAAATAATGCTTTAAGATAAAATAATGAATAAATAATATAAGAGTGATTGTTTTTTATTTTAATCTTAATGATCATTTCGAATAAAAACAAGTAGAATTTATCTGAAACATGAAATAGTAGTAATAATAAGTTGATATTCGAGATTCATTTCATATATTTATTTCTAGAACAATAAAGACAAAATCGATCAGTCACAAAAAAAAATTTCTGATTAGTTTTACAGTACAAGGAAGATGGTTTAGTTTGTCAAACTGATTAAATCTCACACATAAAAAAAGGATATTTGATTAGTAGCTTAATTTCAATATGTCGCATAATTTTAACATAATGTTATCAGGAGCTTCTGTAATTGTTAGCAAATGCAGAGGAGTGTAAAAATTTTAAACTCATTTTCTACGACATCTCGACGTCTTTAACATTCACTTTTCAATTCCATCCTTAATACAGTAGATAGAGCTAGTTCTCCGTATTTTCGTTGTAGTATATCGTCCAACTTGAGTAAGTAATGGCTGTTCTATTTTAGAAACGCTTTCTTATAATTGAAAATGAGAAAAAAAATTAGTTAACAACGAGATCTGTTCTTAAATTAACTCATGTTTGTTATTTTCTGATGTTTTTCTAAAGATTTAGAAACTCAACAGCAAAAATGTATTAGGATCGAAAACTTTCACTTAAAGTAGAGATCATTTTTTTGAATTATTATACTAATAAAATTTATAAGTAACGACTTGACTCGAGACTGACGGTGCTATATTGATATACAAATTCTTGATAAGTTGCAGTTTTATGGTGAGAAGTAAATCTTAGCACGAACAGCAGCATGTAACAACATCCAGAGTTAAATTTCTTATTCGTCAACAGCTATAGTGAAACATTTCCAGAACTTAGAGAATGCCTATTTAGTGGCTTCTTTCGTAACTCTATCTATTGCAAAATGGTTTTGACTCAAAAATGAATACTAAAAGTGAAGACATGATGTCGTAGGAAGGAGAATCTTTTTTTTTGGTGTTATTTTGTAGTACATAGAAACATTCCAATTGACTGTACGCTTACTTCATATAACATATTTTATTTCAGAATACGATTAGAGAAAGTAAAAAGGAAATTATTTTATTGGTAGTATCCTAATCAACTATGAATACTTTACAATTACTAGTATTTCTATTGTTATTCAATGCATTCGACACTCACTATTCGATGTATCATTCAAACGATCAATCAAGATCTAACTCTTTCTTTGATTGTCTTTATGCACATATGACAGGTTATGATGAATATATTGATTCTTCGCAAGTAACGATTTATCATCTGATTCCATACTGCCGAAGACCAGATCAAAATGAAATAAAAGATCATTTGTCAAATATTTCAATGAATAATATAGACAAAATTATTACATTTAATGAATTATATAAACAAGGTGTAACAAGTCAGCAATTACTTGAATGGTCGGTACCAATTGATATTGCCGAAAAATATGAAATGAAAGTTTTAGATTTAACAAAAGTTTTTTACAATTGTTCATTACCTTGGTTTGGTCCTAAATGTCAATACAGATTTGATACTGAGTTACCAGTGTCATTTGATGATATTGTTCGAAGAAATTTTATTCATCGCATGGTACATAACGTGTTGTATGATGACAATATTGGCACATGCTATTCTTCCCTTACTAACTGCTATAATTATCCACTGTCAATGTGTCTCGATTGGCGTGAAATTTGTGATGGAAAATTGGATTGTACGAATGGAGAAGATGAAAAATATTGTCAATTATTGGAAATGAATGAATGTCCTGATGACACATATCGATGCCATTATGGTGGCCAATGCATTCCATTAATATTTGTAAAAGATGGACCTACAAGTCCAGATTGTCTTGACGGTATTGATGAAATAGAATTATATGAAGAAGAGCTTTACCGTTCTAAAAGTGCTTGCTTAACTTTTCCAACATTTCGATGTGAAGAACATACCAGCCGGCATCTTCGGTCTTTTCCATGTGGTGACGGTCAGTATGCTCTTTCGGATATTGGACCTCTACCTATAAACCGTCTTTGTGCCAATGGTCGAGATATGATAGCGGTATTCTATCGAATGAAACCTTTATCTCGGCCATTAGAATCTCTTTTTGTTCAAATGTTCGACTCCACATTGGTCTCGAATATCGATATTCTAAAACAACTATTACTGAATTCAACATCAATATATATGATGATCCCTTGTGAATCTATAGGAAGAAAATGTTTAACAAATTGGCTTTTTAAGGTTGAAGTATACTACGCTTATTCAAAATTTCATTTTATTTATTTACCGAATAGATTATTGATAGATTTTGCCTTGTTTATTAATCCTGATTTTATTTGTTTCAATCCTAAAGATTGTCCTGCACTGACGTATTGCGTCATAGATATCGGTATAAATAATGGACTTGTTTGTTGTGCTGCTAGTGAATTATCTAATGAATTATTAAATGGTGGCAAGAAAATGAAAAATGCTCTTGAAAAATTATTTATTCGTTGTTCAACGACTGGCATAGAACAATCTTGTTCACATTCATCACTTTTTCATTGTTCACTTTCATTGAAATGTATTTCAAAACATCGTCTTGTTGATGGAATTATTGATTGTTATTTTGAAGAAGATGAAGTATTTCCTACTTGTCAATTAAACGACTCAAAACGATTTATTTGTGAATCTGAACAAAATAAATGTTTATCACCAATAGCAGTGCAGAATGGAAAGAATGATTGTCAAAATGAAGAAGATGAAATGACTGAAAATCAACGTAATACTTTAAAAGGAGATGTTCCATTTGCTTTGTTATGTGATGGAAAAAATCATTCATTACTATTAAAATCGAATGAAACCGATGAAACAAATTGTCAATATTGGCCATGTAATAATCCTTATGTTCGATGTAATCGTCTTCAAAATTGTGCTGATGGTACTGATGAACATAATTGTCCCAAATTAAAATGTACACGGAATGGTATTTCATGTTCTAGAACGTTATTGACAAATTTCTTTTGTTTTCCATTAATGGTTTTAATGGAACAATATTTAGATTGTGAAATTTATTACACTGAACATGAAATCAGTTTGAATACGGCACATAACAATGAGACATTAGAATATTTCTCCTACGATTCTTCATGCACTTCTTTAGAAGAACTCTGTATCCGTATATCATCAATAGCGCCAGTTCAGGAGGTCTGTTACTATCCACTCGAAATATCCTGTCCAATAATAATGGCATATTGGTTTCTTTTAATTAAAAAAAATATTTGTCCTTTTTTCCAAAAAAATGTACGAAAAATTGAATTCGACAAATCTTTTTTGATATCATCACAAATGGGATATTTTCCTGAAAATTCAAATGCATTATTGAACCAAAAGAATTCCAAAGTGAAAAAAGAACCAACTATCAATGAAAATATAAGTGGAATGAAAAATTGGTATTGCAATCGAGGAATTGTCATTCATTTTAATGATAATAAAACAAATAAATGTTTATGTCCACCTAGTTATTTCGGTGATCGATGTCAATGGCAAAATCAACGAATAAGTTTGACACTTCAATTAGTACATCGTGTTGAAACTTATACAATCGCAATATTTCAAATTATTATCATGCTTATTGATGAACAAAGACAAATAACATCATATCATGAACAAATAACATATGTACCAAAACGTGATTGTGGCACAAAATATAATATTTACTTAGTTTATCCAAATCAACCAAAAAATTCTTCTACTAATTATTCAATACATATTGATATATTTGATAAAATATCATTAAAATATTTAGCCAGTTGGTATTTACCTATTCCATTTCAGTTTCTACCTGTTAATCGTATTGCAACTCAAATATTTATTCAAGACAAAACTATGAGTTCAAAATTATTTCCATTATA